ATGTCCACTAACTTGGGAAATATTTCAAGTATAGAAAATATATTTTAAAAAGCAGAATCTCACCTCCCTGAGATTCTCAACTGTTTGGTTTTATGAAAATGTCTTTAGTTCTGATTTCATTGGCCCAGTGATTCTTGTTTGTTTTAAAATATTGATCTGGCCTTACACAATTTTCACAAATCTGCTGTTCTCTGTGTGGCAGTAATAGTATAACTCCCATAAAAGGTAAAGTTTCCTGAGTTAAGAACTCTGACAGGACTGTACGACTTCCTTGCACAAAGACACATGTCCAGAGTGAGACCATGAGATAGAATTTCCCAAATGTGTAGCCACTGTTCTCTTACATTTAAATTTTTCACTCAAAGAAGAAAAAAAAAAAAAAAAAAGGCTAACTCAAATGTTACACTGCAACTTTTTTTTTTTTTTTTTTAAAGATGGAGTCTTGCTCTGTTGCCCAGGCTGGAGTGCAGTGGCGTGATCTTTGCTCACTGCAACCTCCGCCTCCCGGGTTCAAGTGATTCTCCTGCCTCAGCCCCCGAGTGGCTAGGATTACAGGTGTGTGCCACCATGCCTGACTAATTTTTATATTTTTAGTAGAGATCGATTTCTCCATGTTGCCCAGGCAGTTCTTGAACTCCTGACCTCAAGTGATCCACCTGCCTAGGCCTCCTAAAGTGCTGGGATTACAGGCGAGAGCCACAATGCCCAGCTGCAGCAACTGTTTTCTGAGTAATCCAACCATGATTATTGAAGAAAAATAGTCATCCAACTCTTTTAGCAAATTGAATTGGCCATTCCATTACACCTAACTTGACTCTTCTTGGCATCAAGGTGGCATATACCATGTAACTGAGCTGGCTAAAGCACGGTAAATTCTGTGGTATTAAAAATAAAACCCAAAAGTTATAAGTTCTTGTTTTTGGAGAGAAAAAGTCATTTCACTTATGCTTACAGAATTTCTTACCAAACCTTTTCTGATTTATTAAAAATTTACATCTTTGAAAAACATACAAAATAAAACCTCAGTACTTTCTACATGTGTTTTCTGTACATACTAAATAATACTGGAGGAAATTACACATCTAAGACTTAACAGACATGCAAGGTAAGTGGAGAATAAACTCTAGTGAAGGAGCCAATAAATGACATAAATAATACGAGTACTCTAAACAGATAATGTGACTAGATGTTGTGATCATTGCGGTCAATACCTGGCTTAAGCGAAACAAAAAGCTTTAGGAAAGTTCATTTTCACCTGGTTAATTTCCTTACTAGGTATGTGGTTGATGAATTCAGTTCAATTTGTGAGAAAAAAAATGTAATTTCTTCTTGTACTGCTACCATAAAGACAGTGATGTCATACATGAAGAAAAGTGAAGGTGTCACAAATATATCCAGTGTGTTATTCTCTGTAATTTTTGAATGATAAAGTTTTTGAATTTTTTTTGGTTTAATTACATGACCCACATAAAAATATTTCCCCCATCTTTATATATAAATATATATTTATATTATATAACTATTATGTAATATGCATATATTTATAATGCTAAATATATAACACACACACACACACACATATATATACACACATATTGCTTACAAAAGGCAATTGTCTATATTCTTTTGGGACCCTCCCATGGTGAAGATTGAACAGCTTTCCTTGATAGTCTACTGGAGTGTGTTCTTTGTCAGGACCCCAAATACACATTACAAATTTGTATAAGATACAACTATATAATATATAATATATGTAATATATAATATACAAATTATATCATTACATGCCAAGAAAATCTCTGCTCCTTAATTTTATCTCATTTAATTCTCTCCATACTTACACAGCAAATATTTATTAATGCTCTACTATATGCCAGGCACGGCCCTGAGGACTGAATATTTTATTATGGACATTTTAGCTCTTAAGAGATTTTTTTTAACACTTAAAAATGAAAATTAAGCCATTCCATAATTTTCCTTTCAAAGGTTAAGCAGCGTTTGCTATTTTCCAGTTGAGTATAGAAACAACTCCTTTGACCATTTGTATGTTCTTTCCCAAGGCATATCTTGTATGCTTGCCTCTGTGTGCTTTGAAAGCAATAGTCACAGAACTAGAAAGCAACAGGGAAGTCCTACTATGGCTTGTGATACTAACTGATCAATCCATCTTCTTTTCAGTTTCTTTTGACTCTTCACATTGTCTAAATGGTGTTCTCAATTTCTGTAAGCTCTGCTCTTAACCCTGTGCATTCTTTATCTTAGAGTGTGTACCCACTACAGAGGCAGCAACCATCACATCCGTGCAGTAGTAGCTTCAGGATTCTATGTAGAAGTGTCTCTGGGTGGCCATCTATGTTGAGGGAAAGGCTAGTTAGATGACACACCTTAGTGACTCTGAAAATGCTCCTAAATGATCCAATTCTATAAGCTTCGGTTTTTACATTTGCTAAATTGGCATATAATACTTATCTCACAGGACTGTAATAAAGGTTAATGAGATAAATGCAATGTCCCTGGCTTATATTATGCATATCAATGAATGGTAAGTACTATTAATACTGTGTAGGCCATTAAAATTGAGTGGCAATTCCAGAGCATGTTTGGGTATGCATGCTGTTGTCAGAACAGATTGAAGATATTATACAAGATTATTGCCAAATCAATAAGAGTGATTAAAAAAAGATTTTATGACCTTTATATTTGAAAGCCAGATGCAACAGATTTAGAACTAAATGATTTTCATATTTGACAAATATTGAAATCTGTTAAGAAGCATAGAAGCATCCGACTTTGCTTTACATTTACTTTTATTTACTTTTTTATTTTTTAGAGATGGGGTCTCACTCTGTTGCCCAGGCTGGGGTGCAGTGGTGTCATCATAGCTCACTGTAGCCTCAAACTCCTGGGCTCAAGAGATCCTCCCACCTCAGCCTCCCAGGTAGCTCGGATTACTGGCATGAGCCACCATGCCAGGACTGTGTAGCAGTTTATTAACACAAGTAACTGTTAATATTGTAATGTTCTGTTTCTCTCCTAAATTTCTAATTACTGTTACATACTATGATTAAGGAAGAAAATAAGTAAAAGCGTGTGTAATCTCGTCTCCTGTATGTTCACTGTTTTGTATCTTGATTTTCCTATTTCATAAAATAGAATTCTATGGAAAACATAATCCAATTTAGATTGGATTTCTTAAAAGTCAGACTGAGCTAAATGTGGTTGGCTACTTCAATTCTAGAAAATGATTTTAAAAAACAACAGGGGAGATTAAAGTTAAACACCTTGAAGAACTTCTCAATTGTTAAGAACTTGAAAATACTATGAAGACATAAAATTTATTGACTTTGTTTCAACTTATGCGTTGCATAAGGGAATAAAAAGACTCAGAACAATGTCTATGCTATTGCTGCTCCAACTATGGTCTCTGGACTAGCAGTGCCAGCATAACCTGGGCCCTACCCAGACTCACTACCTTTTTGCAAGATCTTTAGGTGATTTGCATGCATTATGTACATTACAAATTGAGAAATTCTGCTCTGAGATATACTTCTAGGCTCTTTGTATTAATATGGGAAAAAAAGAGTGGAGGCTAATTTATCTTTGTATATTCTTATGTTCCTAGTTGTTTACCTGGAAGCTCTTTTCATACTTTGCTAGTTTCAATACACACTCATTTTTGTTGTGGTTTCCACTTCCTTCATCATAATTTTGTCTTCACCGAAGTATAGCTTGAGTCTTGACTATTTCACTTGAATTCTTCTACAGAGGGCAGTTCCCTCTAGCGATCTATAAATCAGGTTTCAACCTCTTTGTCCTACTAAAAATTCAACCTTTTGAGGATCCATAAATGTTATGAGAGGGCTTATTTAGATAAGTTGTGTACAATAAGAAGTTAGAGAAAACTGTGTCTTGGAACATAGGAATAAATAAAATATAGTCCCATAATAAGCTGTGAGAGCATGAAGCTTTGTGAATAGATGAGGAAATGTCAGAGAAGGAAAGAAGAGGAACTGTATTGTTTGGCATCCGTTCTTTCATGTACCTGTAACTCATACTGTTTCTGAGTCTACCTAGTCTGCCTGTTTTTACAGTAGAATGTTTGATGCACCCATGAGCATATAATCAAGTGTGTATGTAGATTCCATTACAAGTGCAAAAATGGTCCCTAAAACACTTTTTAAAGAAAGTTATATCTATCTGCTCAAGTTTTGCTCCTCGTGGAAACGCAGTCCCTATTTCCTACTATAAAGGAAAAATGAGAGGAGAAGAAAGGGAGAAAAAACTGGTGCAGATCAGTCTTGGAGGCAAGCTAAGAAAATCCATGGCTTATTGAAGACTGTGCCAGAATATAGTCTTTACTGACTTTCACTCCAGCTCCTTCATTATTGACATCAACATCTGTTATTCCTCTGTAAATTCAAATTGTACCAGAAGCAGAAGTAGAGTATGCTATACTTTTTTTCCTTTTTCTTTTCTTCTCTTTTTTTTTTTTTTTTTTTTTTTTTTGAGACATAGTCTGCTCTGCCTCTCCTAGGCTGAAGTGCAGGGGTGCAATCTCAACTCTATGCAACCTCTACCTCCCAGGTTCAAGCGATTCTCCTGCCTCAGCCTCCTGAGGAGCTGGGATTACAGGTGCCCACCACCACGCCATGGCTAATTTTTGTATTTTTAGTAGAGATGGAGTTTCACCATGTTGACCAGGCTTGTCTCAAACTCCTGACCTCAAGTGATCTGCCTGCCTTGGCCTCCCAAAGTGCTGGGATTACAGGCATGAGCCACCGCACTCGGCCACTATACGTCTTATATGTCTATTTAACGGATGTATTTTTGTTTCTAAATACATGTTAAGATTGCACCTTCTCTCCCATGGATGGTATCTGGGTTGGCCTGAGAGTATATTTGGGCCAAAAGAGACAATCAGTGGAGTCCATCTTCAGTAAAACTGTGTTTTTTAAAAAATTATCTTAGATATTATTATTATCTTAGAAAGGTAATGATTATAAAATCTATGAGAAAATAAAATATATTTCCACAGTTGTTCTATTTAACGTTGTTTCTGTGCATTAAAGAATCTAAACAAACAATTTCATTATACCTAAAGCAGCCCACCAATGTGATGTCAAGGGGAATTCCAACATAACTGCAATAGAAAAAAAATGTTTAATTTCAAAACATGCATTTTTATCTTTTACTCAAGACGAAATAATCCTGTTTGGTCAAAATATGTCCACCCAACAAGAAAAGGTTTATCCATGTTCACGAAATCAGGTAGCCCCCAGTTGTACTTCAGTCCTGGTCTAAAAGGTCACTTGTTAAGTCAAACCTTTACAACTCTTCTCCTAGAAATAATACTATGAATTGTGAGGTTCTCAGGTTAGCTCCCAAAGTTGATTTTAAGTGATCATCCTAAGGCCATCCTGAATCCTCAATGCCTAGTTCCCTCAGGAATTCCAAACCACTTCATGCTGAAGTAAGTCACTTCTGTCCAGTAGTCATTTGTTAACATTTTCTAAGTGCCACGTGTTAGATGATTAACTCATAACTTTTCTAGGTCCAGAACCTATAGCTCATCTCAACCCTGAGGATTGAACCACCTATACTCCAAGTCCTTTTACAAATATTGGTGGTTGTCTTGCAGAAAAAATTAAGCCCCAAAGTAAAGTAGAGCACTTCAGAAGTAGAGTGATGGGGGCAGGGCCTTCAGTGATTCTTTGAGTTACTGAGGGAGGGCTTGTGTCTGTGGAAACTGATACTAGGCCATGAATATACTGGCATTCTTTAATAGCAGTGAAGCTGGGAAGTTGTAATTCATTTGGAAATTGTGTGTTCTTCAGTTGGAGACAGATTGTACTGTTTTTGTTTGTTTGTTTGTTTTTTGTTTTTTGAGACAGAGTCTCACTCTGTCACCCAGGCTGGAGTGCAATGGTGCAGTCTCAGCTCACTGCAACCTCTGCCTCCTGGGTTCAAGGGATTCTCCCTGCCTCAGCCTCCCAAGTAGCTGGGATTACAGGTGCCTGCCACCACGCCTGGCTAATTTTTGTATTTTTAGTAGAGATGGGTTTTCACCATGTTGATCAGGCTGGTCTTGAACTCCTGACCTCAGGTGATCTGTCCACCTCAGCCTCCCAAAGTGCTGGGATTACCGGCGTGAGCCACTGCACCTGGCAGAGACAGATTATACTATCAACAGATCAGGGCACTGAAAATATGACAGTGATTTAAGTTGGTCATAAGTAAGAATAAACTTTGAATTATAACCTGTGGTTGGTTATCACTCATATTTTGACTGATATGCTTTAAAAAATAAGGCAGTATAGTAAGGGAGAAAAAAATACAGTGGATGAGTAAATTTTGAGTGGATAGGCGAACAAATGGATGAAATAGTCACTTACTGAGTGAATATTATATACTAGACACATGTCAGACAATTTCTTATTATCTAATTGAAACCTCATCAGGTTTCCCACATTTTGTAGAGAAGGAAACTGATGTGAGAGATGTGACTTGGCCACAACTACCCACCTAGTAAAATGTAGGACTGGAATTTGTATCTATTTTCTTCTGACTCCAAAAATCATAGGTAGAAATAAAAACCACTTAATCTAAGAACTGGTATTTGTTTTAAAATAACTGTTGCTGGACAGGTGTCCATGAATCCCAGTTCCCAGTCTTTGATCAGTTTCTGCCCTCACGGAAGGGTTTTGGAGGAAAAATATGTCCTACAGGGCAAACCTTGCCAAGTTGGTGATAAGTTGAATGTGAAAGGGAAAGATCTCTATTTCAGTTTAGTTCTGAATCAGGTTGGATCTTGAAACAGAAAAATGATGCAGGGAAAACCAGGGTAATACAAATAAAGTTTAGCTAATAATAGTATTATACCAATGTTAATTCATTAGTTTTGACAATTGTACTATGGTTATATGAAATGCTAACATTAGGGGAAGCTGGGTGAAGGGTACATGGGAACTCTCAGTTATATTTTTGTAACTTTTCTGTAACTCTAAAATTATTTCAAAATAAAATATTTTTTAAAAAGTTTTAAAAAACCTCCCTGAGAAGAGCGGTAGAAAAAAATGTGGCTGGAAAGAGGGAGGAAGACCTTTCATCTTCAGTTTTTATCATTTAGCTATCATACAAGAATATGCAGACAACAAAGTTCTACTCAGGAAGTGGTTTACGTCCAACATCTGTTTTAATACATTTTCCTTGTTTCTGTTATTTCATTTTGCTTACCAGTTGAAGTGATGACAACATGAAGAATAGTTACTGAAATAGCATAATCCCAAACCCATTCTTCCACAACCGGAACAAAAAGCAATCCACAAACAAAGTAGGTGACCTCTGTTGAAACTAAAAGAACTGCAAATACAAGGAAGAATATAATTATTGGGGACTAGAGCAACTAACATTCTGATATACAACTAGTAATAAGACCAGGAAAGCTTACTCTGAGAAGAAATTTTGGTAAGAATTTTTTAAATGTTCCATTTCCTAACAATCCTCATATTTGGATAAAATGATTAACGCATTTTATCTTTTAACAATTTTTAGATTTGTAGAAAACCACAATATATCATTTCTGTTTCACATTCTTTGTATTTAACATTTTAGAAAGTGAAATACAATAAAGAAATGTTACAGTGTAACCAATATGTGCAAATCTGTAATTGTATTGCAAATCTCATTTTAAGCTTTATTAAAAACTAATGAAAAAATCCAGTTCTGAGTTTTGAGAAATGAAAAAAAAAATTAAACCAAATGTAAGAGTTTATTGAACTATAACATTTGTTTGATACCAAGCACTGCCTAACTTGGAAATGAGTTCCTTTGTGTCTTTGTAATAAAATGGTTCGTTCAGATCGTCACTTGGGAAACATAACTGATAACCATGAATGAAAGAAAGTCTCATAGATGACAGGTATGGATGGAGACACTCTCCTAAATCCACTAGTTGTGACAGAGTGGTTTACCTGAACACGTATGAAGAGCTAGATATTTACACGTGAGAACCACAAATCTCTAAGAGCCCTGAACACGTGATGGGTCAATCTTTTGCCTCTTGTCTTTGATATGGATCTTTAAGACTATCATGGTCTCAAAAGAGAAATCCATCAAACTTTAAAGTGACAAATATATGTGATACACCACCAAGGTCCCTTTGTAAATGATACCACTTTCCATAAAAATTACCTTTCCTCTTAAAACACAGAAAATAAGTGATATGTTCATATAATTCAGGGATAAATAAATCTAGGCAAACTCTAATATTTTTCAAAGCAAAAAATAAAATAATCACCTTATGTCCTACTGTGTAGAAGTAATTTATTATCCAGCAAGCCAGCAATTGCAGTCGGTAAGCGAGGTACCAAGGAAGCAAGCCCCAGGTGCAATCTTTTTAAAGGCCTCACACATATTCCTCTTCAATTCTATTTAATTTAACTTAACGGGTTTCAAAAGTTAAATACAGAATTCATACTAACTTCTTTTCTATTGCACAGGAATTCCTTTGATCAGTGGAGATCAGTTCAGCATGTCCTGCCACCTAATATCCAAGAAAGAACTGTCCTGTTGTGTCATATTGACACCATCTCTTTCCATCACATTTCATTCCTCCCTCCCCCACTGGTTTACAGAATCACTACATTATTGTAGAGAAAGAGAGATGCCTCTTTTGTCAGCATTTAGAGATTTTATAGGTTAACTTGCAGCTGCTTGGAGATAGTGATTTTAGTCTTGCACAAGCTGTATTCATGTTTATTAATACAGAATACTTATGCTTTGTTCATGATAGGAAAGAAAGCATGACTTAAGGGAAGTAATACAAAATTTGAAGTCAAGATAACAGCATTCTAGTCTCGCTTTTACAGCTAAAGAGTCATAAGACCTTGTCTGGGCACGGTGGTTCACACCTGTAATTCCAGTACTTTGGGAGGCCGAGGTGGGAACATCACTTGAAGCTAGGAGTTCAAGGCCACCCTGGGAAACATAGCAAGACTCTGTCTCTGAAAGAAATTGAAAAAAACTTAGCCTGGCATAATAGTTTCCCCCATAGTCCTAGCTACTCAGGAGGCTGAGATGGGAGGATCTCTTGAGTGCAGGAGTTTGAGATTACAATAAGCTATGATCGTGCCACTGCACTGCACTCCAGACCAGGTGACAGAGTGAATCTCTGTCTCTTAAAAAAAAAAAAAAAAAGAGTTATGGAGTCGGTTCCAAGATGGCCGAATAGGAACAGCTCTTGTCTGCAGCTCCCAGCGAGACTGACGCAGAAGACAGGTGATTTCTGCATTTCCAACTAAAGAACCTGGTTCATTTCACTGGGACTGGTTGGACAGTGGCTGCAGCCCACAGAGGGTGAGCAGGGCAGGGCATCGCCTCACCTGGGAAGTGCAAGGGGTTGGGGGATTTCCCTCTCCTAGCTAAGGGAAGCCATGACAGACTGTATCTGGAGAAACAGTACACTCCTGACAAAATACTGTGCTATTCCCACAGTCTTAGCAACCAGCAGACCAGGAGATACCCTCCCCTGCCTAGCTTGGCAGATTCCACACCCACAGAGCCTTGCTCACTGCTAGTGCAGCAGTCTGAGATAGACCTGTGACACTGCATCTTGATGGGGGGAGGGGTGTCTGCCATTGCTGAGGCTTGAGTAGCTCACAGTGTAAACAAAGAGGCCTGGAAGCATGAACTGGTGGAGCCCACTGCAGCTCAGCAAGGCCTGCTGCCTCTATAGATTCCACCTCTGTGGACAGGGCATAGTAGAACAAAAGGCAGCAGTCAGCTTCTGCAGACTTAAACGTCCCTGTCTGACAGTTCTGAAGAGAGCAGTGGTTCTCTCAGCATGGTGTTCAAGCTCCAAGAACAGACAGACTGCCTCCTCAAATGGGTCCCTGACCGCCATGTAGCCTGACTGGGAAACACCTCCCAGTAGGGGCTGACAGACACCTCAAACAGGCAGGTGCCCCTCTGGGACAAAGCTTCCAGAGGAAGGATCAGGCAACAATATTTGCCATTCTGCAGCCTCCACTGGTGATACCCAGGCAAACAGGGTCTGGAGTGGACCTCCAGCAAACTCCAACAGACCTACAGCTGAGGGGTCTGACTGTTAGAGGAAAACTAACAAAGCGAAAAAAATAGCATATATATCAACAAAAGGAACATCCACACCAAAACCCCATCTGTAGGTCACCAACATCAAAGACCAAAGGTAGATAAAACCACAAAGATGGGGAGAAACCAGAACAGAAAAGCTGAAAATTTTAAAAAACAGAGTGCCTCTTCTCCTCCAAAGGATCACAGCTTCTTGCCAGAGAGGGAACAAAACTGGATGGAGAATGAGTTTGACGAGTTGACAGAAGTAGGCTTCAGAAGACTGGCAATAACAAACTTCTCCGAGCTAAAGGAGCATGTTCTAACCCATTGCAACGAAGCTAAAAACCTTGAAAAAAGGTTAGATGAATGGCTAACTAGAATAAACAGTGTAGAGATGATGTTAAATGACCTGAAGGAGCTGAAAAACATGGAATGAGAACTTTGTGATGCATGCACCAGCTTCAATAGCCGATTTGATCAAGAGGAAGAAAGGGTATCAGTAACTGAAGATCAATTAATGAAATAAAGCGAGAAGACAAGATTCGAGAAAAAAGACTGAAAAGAGATGAACAAAGCCTCCAAGAAATATGGGACTATATGAAAAGACCAGATATACGTTTGAAGGGTGTACCTGAAAGTGACGGGAGAATGGAACCAAGTTAGAAACCACACTCTTCAGGATATCATTCAGGAGAACTTCCCTAACCTAGCAAGGCAGACAAACATTCAAATTCAGAAAATACAGAGACACCACAAAGATAATCCTCAAGAAGAGCAATTCCAAGACACATAATTGTCAGATTCACCAAGGTTGAAATGAGGGAAAAAATGTTAAGGGCAGCCAGAGAGAAAGGTCAAGTTACCCACAAAGGGAAGCCCATCAGACTAACAGTGGATCTCTTGGCAGAAACCCTACAAACCAGAAGAGAGTGGGGGGCCACTATGTAACATTCTTAAAGAAAAGTGTTTTCAACCCAGAATTTCGTATCCAGCCAAACTAAGCTTCATAAGTTAAGGAGAATTAAAATCCTTTACAGACAAGCAAATGCTGAGAGATTTTGTCACCACCAGGCCTGCCTTACAAGAGCTCCTGAAGGAAGCACTAAACATGGAAAGGAATAACCGGTACCAGCCACCGCAAAAACATGCCAAATGGTAAAGACCATCGACGCTATGAAGAAACTGCATCAATTAATGGGCAAAATAACCAGCTAACATCATAATGACAGGATTAAATTCAAACATAACAATATTAACCTTAAATGTAAATGGGCTAAATGCCCCAATTAAAAGATACAGACTGGCAAATTGGATAAAGAGTCAAGACCCATTGGTGTGCTGTATTCAGGAGACCCATCTCACATGCAAAGACGCACATAGGCTGAAAATAAAGGGATGGAGGAAGACCTACCAAGCAAATGGAAAGCAAAAAAGAGCAGGGGTTACAATCTTAGTCTCTGATAAAATAGACTTCAAACCAACAAAGATCAAAAGAGACAAAGAAGACCACTACATAATGCTAAAGGGATCAATTCAACAAGAAATGCTAACTATCCTAAATATATATGCACCCAATACAGGAGCCCCCAGATTCATAAAGCAACTCCTCAGAGACCTACAAAGAGACTTAGACTCCCACACAATAATATTGGGAGACTTTAACACCCCACTGTCAGTATTAGACAGGTCAACAAGACAGAAGGTTAACAAGGATACCCAGGACTTGAACTCAGCTCTGCACTAAGTGGACCTAATAGACATCTATAGAATTCTATACCCCAAATCAACAGAATATACATTCTTCTCAGCACCACATTGCAGTTATTCTAAAATCGACCACATAATTGGTAGTAAAACACTCCTCAGCAAATGTAAAAGAACAGAAATCACAACAAACTGTCTCTCAGACCACAGTGCAATCAAATTGGCACTCAGGATTAAGAAACTCACTCAAAACTGCACCACTATGTGGAAACTGAACAACCTGGTCCTGAATGACTACTGGGTACATAACAAAATGAAGGCAGAAATAAAGATGTTCTTTGAAACCAATAAGAACAAAGACACAGCATATCAGAATCTCTGGGACACATTTAAAGCAGTATGTAGAGGGAAATTTATAGCACTAAATGCCCACAAGAGAAAGCAAGAAAGATGTAAAGTCGACACCCTAACATCACAATTAAAATAACTAAAGAAGCAAGAACAAACACATTCAAAAGCTAGCAGAAGGCAAGAAACAACTAAGATCAGAGCAGAACTGAAGGAGATAGAGACATGAAAAACCCTTCAAAAAATCAGTGAATCCAGGAGCTGGTTTTTTGAAAAGATGAACAAAACAGACTGATAGCAACACTAATAAAGAAGTAAAGATAGAATAATCAAATAGACACAATAAAAAATGATAAAGGGGATATCACCACTGATCACACAGAAATACAAACTACCATCAGAGACTACTATAAACACCTCTACCCTAATAAACTAGAAAATCTAAAAGAAATGGATAAATTCCTGGACACATACACCCTCCCAAGACTAAACCAGGAAGAAGCTGAATCTCTGAATAGACAAATAACAGGTTCTGAAATTAAGGCAATAATTAATAACCTATCAACCAAAAAAAGTCCAGGACCAGATAGATTCACAGCCGAATTCTACCAGAGGTACAAAGAGGAGCTGGTATCATTCCTTCTGAAAGTATTCCAATCAATAGAAAAGAGAGAATCCTCCCTAACTCATTTCATGAGGCTAGCATCATCCTGATAACAAAGCCTGGTAGACACACAACAAAAAAAGAGAAATTTTGGCCAATATTTCTGATGAACATCAATGCAAAAATCCTCAATAAAATACTGTCAAACCGAATCCAGCAGCACATTAAAAAGTTTATCCATCAGGAACAAGTCGACTTCATCCCTGGGATACAAGGCTGGTTCAACATACTCAAATCAATAAACGTAATCCATCATGTAAACAGAACCAATGACAAAAACCACATGAGTATCTCAATAGGTGCAGAAAAGGCCTTTGACAAAATTCAACAGCCCTTCATGCTAAAAACTCTCAATAAATTCGGTATTGATGGAACGTATCTCAAAATAAAAAGAGCTATTTATGACAAACCCACAGCCAATATCATACTGAATGGGCAAAAACTGGAAGCATTCCCTTTGAAAACTGGCACAAGACAGGGATGCCCTCTCTCACCACTCCTATTCAACATAGTGTTGGAAGTTCTGGCTAGGGCAATCAGGCAAGAGAAAGAAATCAAGGGTATTCAATTAGGAAAAGAGGAAGTCAAATTGTCTGTGTTTGCAGATGACATGATCGAATATTTAGAAACCCCCATCGTCTCAGCCCAAAATCTCCTTAAACTGATAAGCAATTTCAGCAAAGTCTCAGGATATAAAATCAACATGCAAAAATCACAAGCATTCCTATACACCAAGAATAGACAAACAGAGACCCAAAACATGAGTGAATTCCCATTCACAATTGCTACAAAGACAATAAGGTACATAGGAATCCAACTTACAAGGGATATGAAGGACCTCTTCAAGGAGAACTACAAACCTCTGCTTAACGAAATAAAAGAGGACACAAACAAATGGAAGAACATTCCATGCTCATGAATAGGAAGAATCAATATCATGAAAATGGCCATACTACCCAAAGTAATTTATAGATTAAATGCTATACCCATCAAGCTACCAATGACTTTCTTCACAGAATTGGAAAAAACTACTCTAAAGTTCATATGGAACCAAAAGAAAGCCCACATAACCAAGACAATCCTAAGTAAAAAGAACAAAGCTGGAGGCATCACACTACCTGACTTCAAATTATACTCCAAGGCTACAGTAACCAAAACAGCATGGTACTGGTACCAAAACAGATATCTAGACCAATGGAACAGAACAGAGGCCTTGGAAATAACACCACACATCTAAAACCATGTGATCTTTGACAAACCTGACAAAAACAAGAGATGGGGAAAGGATTCCCTATTTAATAAATGGTGGTGGGAAACCTAGCTAGCCATATGTAGAAAGCTGAAACTGGATCCCTTCCTTACATCTTATACAAAAATTGACTCAAGATGGATAAAGACTTAAATGTAATACCTAACACCATAAAAACCCTAGAAGAAAACCTAGGCAATATCATTTAGGACATAGTCATGGGCAAAGACTTCATGACTAAAACACCAAAAGCAATGGCAAAAAAAGCCAAAATAGACAAATGGGATCTAATTAAACTAAAGAGCTTCTGCACAGCAAAAGAAACTATCATCAGAGTGTACAGGCAACCTACAGAATGGGAGAAAATTTTTGCAATCTATCCATCTGACAAAGGGCTAATATTCAGAATCTAGAAAGAACTTAAACAAATTTACAAGAGAAAAACAAACCCATCAAAAAGCGGGCAAAGTATATGAACAGACACTTCTCAAAAGAAGACATTTATGGAGCCAACAGACATATGAAAAAATGCTCATCATCACTGGTCATCAGAGAAATGCAAATCAAAACCACAATGAGATACCATCTCATGCCAGTTAGAATGGCAATCATTAAAAAGTCAGGAAACAACAGATTCTGCAAAGGATGTGAAGAAATAGGAACACTTTTATACATTGTTGGTGGGAGTGTAAGTTAGTTCCACCATTGTGGAAGACTGTGTGGCAATCCCTCAAGGATCTAGAACTAGAAATACCATTTGACCCAGCAATTCCATTACTGGGCATATACCCAAAGGATTATAAATCTTTCTATGATAAAGACACATGCACGTATACATTTATTGAGGCACTATTCACATAGCAAAGACTTGGAACCAACCCAAATGTCCATCAATGATAGACTGGATTAAGAAAATATGGCACATATACACCATGGAATACTATGCATCCTTAAAAAAGGATGAGTTCATGTTCTTTACAGGGATGTGGATGAAGCTGGAAACCATCATTCTAAGCAAACTATCACAAGAACAGAAAACCAAACACCACATGTTCTCACTCATAGGTGGGAGTTGAACAATGAGAACACATGGACACAGGGCGAGGAACATCACACTGGGGCCTGTCGGGGGGGTCGGGGGCTGGGGGTGAATATCATTAGGAGAAATACCTAATGTAAATGACAAGTTGATGGGTTCAGCAAACCAACATGGCACATGTATACCTATGTAACAAACCTGCATATTGTGCACATGTACCCTAGAACTTAAAATATAATAATAATAATAAAGAGTTATAAGATGTTGAGCAGGATTTTAACTTTTAGATAAGTCTGTTTTCTTCTCCATAAATTGGAATATGGAGTATTATTTATCTCAAAAAGTTGTTGGGAGGATTTTAATGTAAAATGAAAGAAATTTGCAAACTATTCTCTGCGATGCAGAGGAAAGATACTAGTAATTGGAGTGTTTTAACTGGACTCACACTTTCCAGTGTCCTTGCTAAAACTGATCTCTTGGGTGACAAAATTATTGAAACCTACACAAAACCTGACCATAATAAATACATGCCAAAGTCTCTGAGATTACTCTTATATTTTATTAATATCTCTGAGATTAGACAAGTATAGATTCTCAGAGCAACAACTTTGAAGAGTTATGACATTTATCTCCCCAAGCCCAAAATTAAAGATTTAATAGGCTTAGGGTTTATTGATATCTTTGTACAAATGTTTGTGTTTCATGAGAGGAAAGGACGACTGTAAACTCTGCCAGGCATTTTGGGGATCTTCACTAATCCCTGCTATGTAAAAGATCATCACTGGTCTCCGCTATGAAAAAACACAGCCTTCTCCAATAAGCCTGTGATATTGCCTTTTCTTTAATGACTGACCCAAAGACTAGAATTAAATAATGACAATTGAGTGTTCAATCTCTCCCTCTACCCAAAACACACACATGGCCCATACCTGACTCTTTACTGGGACTATATTTTTTAATCGTTTGTGGATAGTGTTAGTAAAAGCTAGGGAAGTGCCTGAAAGAAAGTTAAGATAAAGTGTTAGACCTCTTGTATCTCAGAATCGAAGTATCTCGTTCTCACGTATGCTTTGCTATCCAAAATTGAATCAATAATGGCACCAAAAAAGGATACCCATTTGAGGAGGCTGTTCTAAAGCTTTTTATTTCAATTCAGTCACTCTAACTGAACAAGTTTCCTGTGCAAATTATACTAGAAATCCCATTTCACTGGCCTCCAGCAATTTTTCCATATTTGCATATTTGTACCCCAAAAAGATTCTCCAATGGTTTTCTAGTGAATTGTATGATTTAAGGAATTGACAATACATTAAAAAACAAGAATAGGGAAAAACTTAACAAAATATTAAGAGTAATTACTGTATATAGAATGTAAGTATGTGATTTATTTTACTTTTTTCTGCTTGTAGATATTTTCTAAACTTTCATTAATTAATATGTTTTATTTTATGATAGAACACATTAAAATTTTACTTTTCTAAAGATGTAGGAAACTCACCATGAAGAGCCCCCAAACAAGAATATTTTACATATATTCAAGGTACATAGGTGTAATTATTAATATACATAAGGTTAATGAACATACTAGATATTAATTAATAACTATTCAACAAAAATGCCAAATTTAAAAGAGACAAATTTTGCCTTAGTGTATTCTTTCTTATTGTTTTTCTTCTGCAACAAGTTCTATACTATTTTGGGAAGAAAAATAAAACCAAGCAGAAATGTACAAAGTAGAAAATGAAAGTTCTCTGTCATCCCAAATGGGAGATAACAATTTGTTGCATAATTCTCCAGACTTCTTATCACTGACACCATGTATTTTACTTTATGCTACAAAAATGAAATTGTATTATATGAACTCTTTTGCTGTATTTAATTTTCTATTTTATATCTCACAAATATTTTTCTACATCAACACATTAAGTTATTATTCGTCCTTTTCTTTAAAAATAATGAATAAAAATTCACCCCCAATACAATGAAATGAAAATTTATATAAGAATTCTCCTTCCTTTTCTCCACTTATTCCATCTTATTCCACCTCCAAGGAATTACAACTTTAAAATTTTTGATAGCACTTTTCCTAATTAATTTTTGAAGTCAGATAAAATACATAGATGACTGTGAGATAGGCCTGATATTTAAAATTTTTTTATTAAAAAATTTATTTTTAGTGGCATTTTGTTCACTAATTGATAAGAATTTTAAATTAAAACAATTACCTTTATAGTTTATGTTGAGCCATGAGGGATTTGTTTTGAAATCAAATGGTGCCAGGACATCCAACTCATGCACCCTAAAGATGTTATAAATGAAAACAGTTTACTCTGGATGAAGCAGTTCATAACTGCACATCAAAGCAACGCATATTACTATTCTCATACAAGGATAAGTTACTCTATTTACCCACATTATGGCACATTTCAAAACTGGCTGAAATGGGAAGAAATCACCACTGAAGATAATAATCTCTATAGAATTTTTTTCTGACTCAAACGTCTCACTCTTCTTGCTAGAATTACAAGTTGTGGTAACAGTTACAGCAAACTTTCAGATCAATCATTAGGTGAGAGGGAAAAAAGGTAACAAGGGACAAGGCAATGTCTAGCTACAAAATGTAAGCTCACTTTAGGGCCAAACCAGTAGTTCTACAGATGTAAAATAGGTTCACCCAAATGGTGCTATAACATATTTTTTAACATTAAGTGAGCTACTGTAGCAGTTAGAATTAATAAAATGCTAAATACATCTCATCATGGATATATTTTTGAAATGTAATGTTGAAAAAAGTTATAAAATGACACCTATTATATGATACCATTTATATAAAAAAAATTTACTAAGCAGAAAAAAATGAAGTGAGCTAAAAAGAAAGAGTTTTTAAAAACTGGCTGACTTGGATGACAGCCAAATAACATTTTGTCCACATTGTCTTCTTTGTCCAATTAAGTTCCACTTTAATTTTATTTGATGTCTCAGCTAGAATCTTGGTATTTCCTGCCATCAAACATGGAAGGAGAATGTAATACCATGGAGACAGCGGAGGCTTGAAAAACAACAAGATACAGGTTCTAATCCCGGTGGGGCTATAACCATGAACTTGGGCAAGTCACCTAACCTCTCTGGGCTCCAATTTCCTATCTGTAAATCGAAGAGATTAATCTCTGAGTTCCCTTCCTGTTCTAAAATCTGAGACTATAAAGCACACAACTGGACTTTATACTATACCCAAGTTTGTAGTTGTGTGCAGCTGGCCAACCAGTTTGCTGCCTCCTGAAGCTTTAAGGTCTAATTACTTCAAATTCCTCACCTCTGACTCATGTTAACTACAAACCCTTGAATGCTCAGAGAATCCTACAGAGTCTTGCCTTCTCCTTGCCCCCGGCATAGCCTCACCATATCCAGTCCCAGCAAACAGGCTGAGGCTGCATGTGAGCGCCAGATACTTCCTCCATGTGCTTGCCTGCAAGCATGCTGAGTAACATTCTTTCCATTGCAAACACTGGTACCATTATGTTTTGATAGTTGCATATTGGTATTAATTTGCGCATTGAAATAGAATTCCTTGCTTGCACAATAAAATTCAATTGTGTAAGCACTCAATTTCTAAGAAATCATTTGTAAATACACATAATGAATCTCAAGGCAACCAATATATTGGCAGCCAAAATCTGTAGAGACAAAATTCAACCATAGCAAGACAAAAAATTACCTGAAAAAATAATGTTTTACACTTACATAAAAACAATACCATTAAAATACGTGTATTGTCCCATTTTGTCCTCATAATAACTCTTTTTTGGATTATTCCATTTGACAAACGAAGGCACTGAAATAGGAGATACACTGTGGTTTGGTCAAGATGATTCAGAAAGTTAGTAAGAACTTGGGTCTCTTGCCTCCCAAAAGCTATCTCCAACCTAACAGAAATTATTTAAATTGGATGTGGATGATCTTTAAGCGCCTTTCTTGTTCAAGCCTTCTCTGATTCAATACCAGACCAGGGAGTAATGGGTTCACTTTCTTTCCATGAACATCCTCCAAAGAGGTAAGAGAAACAGTCCTAACTGATTCTATCTACTTCATTTCATGATTGTTACTTTTATCATTTTCAGAGATAGAACATTTGCCTATTTTCACTTAAATAATGAAAGTAGGCTGGATGCAGTGGTTCATGCCTGTAATCCTAGCACTTTGGGAGACCAAGGCAGGAGGACCATTTGAGGCCAGGGTTTCAAGACCAGCCTAGGCAACATAGTGAGACCTTATCTCTACCAAAAAATAAAAAATAAACAAAAGTAAGAAACTATGTCTTAAAAAAAATCCACATCCTCTAATCCATAAAGACATATGAAACGTTAACTATAAAAGTCTTTCCTATTCAATGTTAGCTTTTTAATTCTGTTTGAAGACAATGTGCTACTTACTCAAACAACATGCACCCCGTGCTCAGGGACACGTAGTACACGGTGTAGAACAGGATGACACACAGAAGAAGCTTCTGCAAAACAACCTGTGGAGAAAACAGATATGAGGTCCAAGAGCCTGGGATTTTTCACATGGTCTTTGGTAACTAGTTTGGCAAAAGATGATGAATGATTACTAGATAGTGCTGGCTAGCCTTGTATTGCTTAAGGACCCACGGGATGGGAAGGACTTCAAAGTGTCCATCTTGGAGCTTCTTCGGCGGTATAATTTTCTTAAGTGTCATGTGTCTTGGGTTTGGTTTATCCTTCCTACCATGTATTGAAATCAGTTAGTTTTTCTTTTCATTTGAACATTAATAGCCTCTAGATATTTCTAGATGATTGCTTTCATTTCGATCCAAAATAAGATGAATAATATATAGTCTCTATATTAGTATGTGTTTTCAACCATTAAACTTTTCTTATTTCTGTTAATATTAAAATTCAAATAACATTTTAATTTTTTAGTACATTCACTTACTATAAAATTTTCCTTGTGTAATCCAAAAACATGAGGATTGTACTACATACCCAGAAAACCTACAAATACTAAATCTGTGTAAGACATTTGGCACTATTTTTTAAATTAAATTATAATTTGTGAGACAATATATTTGTTGACAAATTTTATATAGAGATACACTGACTTTTCCTGACAAATTTATAAAACACTACATATTTTTAAAATGTTGCTAGCTGAAGAGGTTACCATCTCACACATTTGCACCAAGAATTAATGCAATATACAAATCCATATCACTTACGCTCCATTCACTGGAACAAACTTCCTAAATGCCAATATTTGTATTTTAACTTGACAAAATGACTCTAAACCTCAGCTGTGATAATAATATAATCTTGCCAGTCATAGTAATAATGGCAAGAACCACAGTTACTTTTGCACCAACCTATAGAAAGATGAGAACAGGTAAATTCCAAATAATATTATCAAAAAACCCACATAATACCACAATAATTAAACCTCTGTACAAGAATTTACAGAGCAATTTGGTAAAACACAATAGATGGTCCTGAAATGGACTCTTCCACATCTGAGACCTAAGAAAGAAGCACTGCAGATTAATGAGAATTGGAAAGATTATTTGACAAATGGTCCTGTGAAAATAGTCTAACTTCTAAACAGAAAAATCCCATTAGATTCCAGTCTTGTACCAGACACCACAATAAATTTCAAGGGGATTATAGGCTTAAATGCCAAGGAATAGGTTGGGAGAAAATATTTGCAATATATATCACAGGAAAAGGATTGATATCTATAATATATAAACTCACACAAATGTTAGAAAAAGACAAACCAATAGAAAAATGGACAAAGTATATAAATAGGCAATTCACATGAAGAAATACTTAAAAAGCCAACAAACAATCAAAAATGTGCCAAACTTCGCTATTAACCTTTTCAAAGATATCCTTATGACTATAATAAAGGTCGCAGCATTTCACATGAGAAATGCTCAATTTACTCAGTTTATTCTTTTATTTTAGAATCTTAAAGCCATTTTTGCTTAACCCACACTCCAGCACTTTAGATTTATTATTATTTTTACTTGAATGACCAATTCACCAAACTGACCACATATTTTCACTTGCCTAGGTACAGAAGGAGCCCACAGCTAGAGGCAGGAGGAGAAGCTAGTTAGCAGAGAGTAGACCACAACCAAGTGGCTGAATGGACCAAATTTACAGATCTACCAAGAACCTACTTCTTTCAACTATTTTTAAATGGGTAGGATGTGAAGCCTGACAGGGCCATGAGAAAACAGGACTCCAAGGTTCTGGGACCTTCAGAGTCTTCCCCCATCCCTTGCTCCCACACCATCCTCAACACCCTCTACTCTTTGCTTATGTCCACCCCCAGCCTTGCTCACCAAGTCTCATCTCTCTTCGCTGATTCTTATCCCCAGTTCACCCTCAGGATCTCACATTCCTTGTCTCTGTTTTTTGGGGTTTTTTTTGTTTTTTTTTTGAGACAGAGTTTCGCTCTTGTTGCCCAGGCTGGAGTGCAATGGCACTATCACGGCTCACCACAACCTCAGTCTCCCAGGTTCAAGCAATTCTCCTGCCTCAGCCTCCCTAGTAGCTGGGATTACAGGCATGCACCACCAAGCCCAGCTAATTTTGTATTTTTAATAGAGTCGAGGTTTCTCCATGTTGGCCAGGCTAGTCTCAAACTCGCCTGCCTCGGCCTCCCACAGTGCTGGGATTACAGGCATGAGCCACCCCGTGCCTGGCCTTCACATTCCTTGTCTCTTAATCTCTCCTCCCTTATGACCTTCAGTCTCTCCTTCCTCAACCCTTGGTCCCCTCCTGTCCATGCTCCTCATTCTCTCCCTAAGACCTGCATAGCCTGTGGTTCCATGATAGCTGACACAACATGATTTTTTAAAAGGAATGTGTACAAAAGAGACCTTCTTCCCACAGCTGTCTTTCTTTTATCAGAGAATAAAAATCCTTCCTAGAAGCTGCAAACAGCCTTCCCATTATGTCTCATTGTCCGCCACAGGGCCACATGTCCACTTACTGAACAATCACAGGTAGAGTAAAAGGGTTTACCATGGCAGCTTTATGACATCATGACTGCGCTTCCGGGGACAGGCACCTACTGCCTCAATAAAAGAAAAATTGGAGTTCTATTAGCAGGGAAGAAGGAGTTGGGCAGGAAACTACATCTTCCACTGGGAAGGAATCAATACGGAAATAGCTAAAAGCCCTCATTTTGTAGCAAAGAGTCTTTGAAGGTCAAAAGAAAATGTGGAGGTATTGCCTGAGTTGAGGCCCATGCATCAACTGGCTCAATTCTTCCCCAACTGCTGGAATAAGAATTTGCTGCTGGGAGATGGGTATGTAAAACGGAGCAGCTGGGAGCTTCTTCAGCACTATAATTTTTTTAAGAGTCATGTGTCTTTGGGTTTGCTTTATTCTTCCTACCATGTATTGATATATCAATTGTTTTTCTTTTAATTTGAGCATTAATAGCCTTTAGATCTTTCTAGATGATTGCTTTATTTCATTTCAATCCAAAATAAGATGAATAATATATAGTCTCTATACTAACACGTATTTTCAACCATGAAACTATTCTTATCTCTGTTAATATTAAAATTTAAATAACATTTTAATGTTTTAATACATTCACTTACTATAAAATTTCCCTTGTATAATCCAAAAACATGAGGATTGTACTACATACCCAGAAAACCTACAAATACTAAATCTGTGTAAGACATTTGGCACCATTTTTTAATTAAATTATAATTTGTGAGACAATATATTTGTTGACAAACTTTACATAGAGATACACTTACTTTTCCTGACAAATTTAGAAAACATTAAATATAAATATAATATCAAAATAACATATTTTAAAATGATTTGTAAGAAATATTTGGAAAAGCAAGGCATAAGTTTGTAAACAATTTTTCTACCTGAATTATAAGTCTAGATTTTCAAATAATACTTTTCTCATAAGCAAATTCATTTGCTTTTACTATGTTCTTCCTCGAATCTACACCCTACAGAGTCTATGGAACCTAAGTATTTTCTAAAAAACAATCAGACCATCACTTCCTCTGCTTTATATCCTTTTATGGCCTCACATCATTATCAGGATTTATTCTTCCACTTTTTTCATTTGACAAATAGTTACTGGGCGGGGTGGCAATGCAAGGTAAATTGGATGTGGTCCAAGCCATAGAGATGCAGTTGAGCTGTTGTTCTCAAATGTACAAGCGTCAGACTCACATTAAGGTCCTATTAAAACACAGATTACAGGGCCCAAGTCCCAGAGTTTCTGATTTGGTAATTCTGGGATGGGTTCCAGGAATTTGTGTTCATAACAAGTTCCCAGCTGATGCTGCATCAGCTGTACCTATTACCACACTTTGAGAACTACTGATCTAGAGGCAAGAATGAGTGAAGAAATGGCTACAATACGAAGAGAAGAGGTATAATTGAGGAGGGTATGGAGTGCTATGTAAGCCCAAGCAAGACAACAGCAGAGAATGGGTAGGTTATGTGTGTGTGTGTGTTTGTGTGCTTCTATGCACATGTGTGAAGGGGGCGTGAACATTCCCCAGAAAATCTTGACAACATTTATTGTAGGTTTTCTTGAGTTACGATATCACATCTGCATTACCTCATTTAATCCTTATAAAACTTCTGAGTGGTAGAATCCTTTTTTAGAGAGAAGAAAAATGAGGCTCAGAGAGCTCTTGTAACTTTCTGAACATTTGACAGTAAAATGCTGAGCTGAGATGCAAGTGCTGCTCTGACTCAACCCTTATTCTACTTATGATGAGCTGGAGCAGTGGCAGGGGTGTCCATAGGCACAAGAAGCACTTGCAAAGACCTGGGTGAAGCCAAACTTGATGGAGAGGAGTTTTGGTAGGAGAGGTTTAAAGAGCTGAAGTCAGAGGTGAAGGGAAGTTTATGCCTTAATGAGGAATTTTGCATATCTCTGAAGGCCCTGGGGAGGCTGAAAGATTTAAGGAGTAGTATAGACTAGAGAGGGGCCATTAGGTCGGGGAAGCATTTAAATGGGTTTGCGATGGAAATGGGGAGGAGGACAGGTATGTGAACTATTAAGGAAACAGAATAGATAACTTGTGGGGGTTAAGGGAGAGGAAACTGTTGACTCTATCTCCCAGTTTTCCAACCCAATTTTATTGATTGGTTGGACAATAAGGGGAGCACTATCAGTTCTAAATGACTGGAATGGTAATCCATAATCTAGCCCAGTGCTGTCCAGCAGAAATACAATGCAAGCCACATATGTAATTTTAAATTTTTTAATAGCCACATTTATAAAAATGTTGATAAGGTAAAATTAATTTTAATAATATTTATTTAACACACCATATCCAAGATATTATGATTTTGACATAAATGAATCATCAAAGATAGAGATATTTTATGTTGTTTGTTCATACTACGTCTTAGAAGTACAAAAGGTAATTTATTTACAAGACATCTCAATTCAGACTAGCCACATTTCAAGTACTCAATTGCCATGTGTGGACAGTGGACAAGACAGTTCTCACCTCTGCCTGTCCTCCAGCCTCATCTCCTCATCCCCTGCCCCAGTCGATAGCCTAACTATATTGACTATTTTATTGAGGATTCCTACGTGACAATCACTGTACTCATATTTTCTCATTGTATTCACCCTTCCCTGTACCCCACCACTATATGCATACAGGAAAAACTTTCTGGGTTTGGCTGTCTTTCATTTGCATTTCACAGACTTGGAAACCGAGACAAAGAGAGATTAAGGAACTAATCCCAGCTCATGTGGCCTACATGTGGCAGGGCTCTAGGCCAGATCTGCTGGATGTTTCCTCTCAACCCTGTGCTGTCCTGCCCCCACCCAGAAGTTCACAATGAAAGCATGCTGAATAATCTTTATTTATTTATTTAGAGAAGGAGTCTTGTTTTGTCGCCTAGGCTGGAGTCCCATGGCATGATCTTGGCTCACTGCAACCTCCACCTCCCAGGCTCAAGCAATTCTCCTGCCTCAGCCTCCCGAGTAGCTGGGATTACAGGCGTCCACCACCACGCCCAGCAAATTTTTTGTATTTTTATCTAGAGACGGGGTTTCACCATGTTGGCCAGGGTGGTCTCAAACTGCTGACTTCAAGTGATCTGCCTGTCTTAGCCTCCCAAAGTGCTGGGATTGCAGGTATGAGTCACTGCACCTGGCATGAATAATCAATTTTAGTTCAACACTCTGTTTTTAAAAGTATGAAAACTGTGACTCAGACAAGTTGATTGAATAGCCCAAGGACACACCTTCATTTAGTGGCCAAGTTGAGATTAGGAAAATAATTGTATTGAATTAACAAAGTAAAAGCACTGAATAATGCGGTCCAAATGAGGGAGCATTATTTTATTATGATACAATATTATTGCTGCACTCTAGGAAAAGCCAATATGTGAGATTCAGAATTTGTAGCTGTCTAGATATTTGGCTACTGCCAAACTTTTTATTATGTTTTTAAATATATTTGGATCCTGAATCAAATAAACTTTTAAAAATTAAGACATTTATGAGACATTTGGCTATTTAAACTTGACTGGATATTTAATAATGTTAAAAAAATTATTGCTACGTTTTTAAGGTAAGATAATGGTATGGTGTTTTTTTCTAAGTCGTTGTCTTTGAAGATGCATAAGGACATGTTTGCAGTTGAAACAATATGATGTCTGGTTTAGTTTCCAAATAAAAAGATAAGAGAATAGCTGGAAATGAAGATGAAACAAGATTGAATAGGAGTTGATAATTTTGAAGCTAGGTGAAGGATAAATGGGATTCATTATACCATTTTATTTAAATTTGCATATGTTTACTTTTTTGGTAATACCTTTTTTTCAATAAATTTATTCAACCAGTGAGCATCTTCACAAAATTTAAAGCATGCTTTGATTAATACAATTTTGAGGAACATCCCTGAGGGATGCGGTAAGGGGTAACCTTTGCTTAATACCTGTACGTGCGAGACGCTAAGCTAGCCACTTTGCAAACCTTATCTCCTTTAATCCTCACAACAACACTGCCAGACAGCAAGTATGATCCATCTTTATCATTGGAGCACAGAAGCTGGCACTTCGCCTTGTTTGTTCCTCTGGGGTCAAGGACATATGGTTTCAGGGGGTTTACAAGTACTCTGGCCCATTGAGATGGGGCTGGCATGAAGAGAAAAGGGTCACTGAGCAAGTCCATGGACTCAGCAAAGTCCCAGGGACCAGAGGGCGTGTTGTTCTGCTGGACTATACAAGGGCAATGAAGAGGCAGGTAGCTATGCCTACTGGCAAGGAGAAACACACCTTCCCCCAGTAACAGCAGGTTAACAGGGCTCTACGAGGGGTTTGTCTGCAAACAGTGCCTCACCTTCCTTTTAGCGCCCTGGCGCCAGCCACAAACCGTTCTAGGTAGCCTTCTCCTGCCTTCTCCAGCTCTTCTCCATACGAGCCCCACAACCTGCAATCCAGTCTCAGCCTCTCCCCCAGCCACCTCCTCACCACCTCCCTCAAGATCTGGTGCTCCTCAGGCAGATCCCTGCAGAGCCTATTCAAGCTCCCTCTGGAATTTTCTTTCCAGTCTATTGATGGAGCTCATTTTGGAAGTTGAAAAAACAAACGAGCACCCACAGCAGTGAATGTTCCTCTTCATTGCTTTCCCACTACACCAAGTCTAATTCTCCGGCACAACATCACCTCCAATGGAGGAACTGGTAGAAAAGGAAAACACAAGAACATTTCACAATATTATCTTGTGCATATGAGAAAGTCACCCGTGGGTCCTGTTATTTCCTTTGTGTTCACTTTCCTCTTTGGTGCTCCAGCCATTCTTAAGTACTTCCTATATCTGGAAAAGTTCAATGCTATTCCCCCTATCTAGAATTAATGACTCCTCTCTTTGGAAAACTAACTCCCACTCATCTTTTCAGGTCTAAACTGATACCTCACTTCCTCCAAGAAGTCCCCCTGACTTCTTAGTCTCTACTGT